GGGTCAAATGGGACTTCCAGTCCTAGTTCTTTGAGGTATCTCCATACTGATTTCCACAGAGGCTGCACCAGTCTACACTCCCACCAGCAGTACAGCAGGGTTCCTCTTTCCCCACAGCCCCGCCAGCATTTGTTATTGAGGAAACCTAAATTTTTTAATGGTTGTCTAATTGATGCCTATTCTTCTCTAGACTAACTTTCATGAGGGTTGGGCCATGCCTGTAGCTTCATTTGTAACTAAGACCCTTCCCTTGGGCTGGATCCTCCAGCTCCAGGTGGGCCCCTCAATGATTTCTTTCTCCAGTGCTATCTTCTCTAGCTTCCCACAGACCCACCAGGTGATTTCTTGCTCTCATGCCTTTGTTCAGACCATTCCCTCACTCTGGGTGATTTTTCCTTTTTTCTCTCCTCCATCCAAAGCATATGTTTTTGATAAATGCCTTCTTACTTTAAAGGCTCTATTAAAACATATTTTTTCTCTGTGACCTTTATCCTTTGTAAATTTATCTCCCTATTGTGCATTTATTTTTTTAAGCAGAGCATGTACATTACCTTATTTGGATATCTTTCCTTTCTTACCTAGTCACAGTCGAAAAACTCTAGTTTATGAGGAGCTCAGGGGCAACTATTTTGTCTTGAATCCCATCTGCAATATTTTCCCAGTGCCTGGAACTTTTAGTATGCATTAGGTACGTGTTTAAACTTGATAGGGCTTTTTTAAAGGATGTAAAACTATACCTGTAATCTCTCCTCTGTGTATGTGTATACATATACATGCCAGTGTGGTTACCAACACAGAATTGTGACAATCTGGAGAGTGGGATCGCAGGTCCATTTTGTAAAAGTCTTTTTTTAAACACTTATATGTTCCAAAGTATTTGATTGATTAGTAAAGAGGACATCACTGTGACCTAAGGAATCAGCATTCTGATCTCTTCAGCTCAATCCCTAAAGGCTTTTGAAAGAGTAGAGACTCAGGCGTGGCCTAAACTTGGTCTTGTGTCTTAGGGAGGAGCCCGGAAATTTGCTTTCCAGAAGAATGACCTAGCCCGTTATTACTTCCCAGACGCCAAGACAATGTATGAAATTTTCCAGAGAGGACTCGCTGTGTCTGGTAAGCATGGTGGCCTGGCCTTGCCTGTTAGGGGCCTGAGGCAGGGTCTGTCCCACTCTCTTCCTTCCTGTCACTTCTAGAACTCCAGGGGCTTTGATGTGGTCCAAGTAGAATTACAGAGCACAAAACACAGGCGACACTTGCACAGCATCAGTTTGGATGCTGGAAACAGTGTAGGACACATACGAGTTTGGAACCTACGTCTTCCATTTCCGGCTGTGTAGCCTGGTACAAACCTCTTGAATTCTCTTCCCCTGTTCCCCACCTAACACAACTAGAAATTTCCTTGCCAACCTGTTGCTAAAAAGTCAAGAAGACAATCAATCATGTGTAGGAAAGTATTTTGATTGCTTTGTTGCCACATTTGTTTAGGAACATGCTTTTCAGAAATGTGCTCCCTGCATTTACACATGAAGAATCTGGGGCCCATAAGCAGCTAGGACTCCTAACTTCTTACCTTGTTCTTCACTCCAGTATCATACTCCTGGCCCTTTGGGCTTTGATAAGTCCATTTGAAACAGATCAAGCCTTAATATCTATAATTTATATCACTGAACACAATGCTAGATGCCCAAGTTCCCTTTCAAAATCACCTTTCAGGTCTCTTTATACCTTTTTTCCTTTGGGTAATGGTGTAGGTTTGCCTACCTGGCTTTTCGTCCCTCCCTTCTCTGCTCCCTGTTTACCATGACCATGATGATGTTTCCAGCTGACTCCCATCAAGAGCTAACTATGCGATAGGTGTTGAACATCTTTTATCTACTCAACCTGTCCTGAATCTCTACAGGTTGTTAGTTACTTTCAACCCCATTCTTATAGATGAGGAAATGGAGACTCAGGTTCAACGACATTTCCAAGGTCACAAAACTAGAAAATAATTGGCACTGATACTTCAGCCTAAGTCTGTCTGTATGATTGTTCTATTTTATGTCAGCTCTTAAGTGTTTTTTAAAAGCAGTTACTCCTTTAGTCAATGAAAAGTTTATTGTAAAGAAAACTTCTATTCGAGGACCCATAGGGGCTGGTGTTTAGTATTTCTGGTTCAAATTAGCATTCATTTAGACTTCCATGCAAAACCAAGCAAAAAACAAACCAAAATTGATTTTTTTACTTCTCTAGCAACTTAAGATAGAAAATGGCTAAAATGGTAGAACTTCCTAGCAGATTTATTCATTGAATATATGTTGTTACTGTAATTAAAAACAAGTCATTGAGCATGTGATATGTGGCTTTTTAGGATTTTTTCCAATACTAAATTAAAATTAAAGTAGTAAGGTTAAGATGGCTTCTTAGGGCCAGGGATTTAGCTCAGTGGTGCTGCTGCCTGCCTCACAAGCGTAAGGTCCTGAGTTCCATCCCTGGTACCAAAAAAAAAGTCTTGAATCCCATCCCCAACTCTTAAACTGGGTACTACGGTACAAACTTGTGATCCCAGCTATTCAGAAGGCTGAGGTAGGTGGCCAACCTGGGCAAAAAAGTGAGACCTCTCCTCAAAAATAAATAAATAAATGGCCTCTTATGCAAGCAGGCATGAGAAATGGCTTGGCTATTTCTATAGAAAAATGACACTTCTAATCTTACCTATGGTTGAACACTTTAGCCCCTTTTAATTCCTAGCTAGTAGTTCATCTATATTAAGAATCACAAAAAAAAAAAAAAAAGAATCACCAGGATATTGTTTAAAATATATGTCCCCTGGTTCCACCTTAGTTCTACTGAATCAGAATTCCAGATGGTGAGAGCTAACAACCTTCAGGAAGTGTTAAAAATACAAAGCTTCCGGGAGTATGCTTACCAGAGTTTAAACTCTAATTCATTTAGTGCAGTTATTTTGCCAGGAAGCTGTAAGTGGGTGGGCTCCTTGGAAATGCCTACACCTTAGACCTGAGCCAGGTCTGAGTTAAACAGGTTAATCAAAGGTTAGGCCAGTGGTGGTGAACCTCTCACAGGCGTCCTGCAGATGGCTGATTATTATCATGGAAAGCTCTAAAAAGTTCATCATCACTGGGCTAGGCTGTTACCTGGTCAAGCTGAAGCTGAGTAGGGGATAGAGTTTAATGAGAATCTCTCTTTGGGTCAATTCTTTTGACTTGTTCCTTGACCAGGGGCCTCTACGAGCATTTTTATTAGTGAGGAAGTCATGAGAAGATGTAGACTATTTATTCCACATTCATCAACTCTTCCTCTCACTGGGTGAGCATGAAGAATTTAGCCCAATCCTTCATGATTCTTAGTACAAAGCGGGGGTAGTAATCATTGGGAAGACCCAAGGAAGCTCACAATAGGCAGTCAATAAACACCAGCTACCCTTACTGACTAATGTCAAACCCCTGGGAGCAGTGACTATGACCAACTGGCGAATGGGGACTTGCCACCCTCTAAGGAGCATTACAGATTGAGACTTCATTTCAGGCACTTTCATGCAGCTGTTTCAACAGGAAAAAAAGTAGTAATGTTTCCTGTGGACAGTCTCCTCATTCACGTTTCGCATCTCTTTAGTCATCATGGCTGTCTCTTTCCTGTTTTCCTTCCTTTTTTCTTTCATCACTCAGTGAGAAATTTGCTTTTTTGTTGCTGAATTTCTAGTAACCCTCTTCTAAATGCTTCCTTTTGGGAAGACGTGAATTCCTCTCACCACCTTGGCTAGATCCTCTGTATAAAATTTCCTTCTTTCTCCTTTTCTGTTTATAACACAGACTTCTCCTGGCTTAAATGTGGAGGCTTCTCTGCCACTCTGGATTGTTTCTTAGCCTAATACCACTGCTTTCCTAGCTTAGCTTTAAAAGCTGGCCTACCTATGCTAGAAGGGAGAGGTTCCCGGATGTGTTTCAATTTTAAATAAGACTGAGTAGTTTAGATGTTCAGGATGTACATTCTCTTACTGTCAAATGTAGAACCTAAGTTGGAAAAATATTGAGGGTAAATGTGCATGTGTGTTCTTGTCATTCTTTATCCTATAAGACACTCTCATATAAACAAGCAAAGAACGTAAACGGATGATTCAGAATAAATAGAACATAACAAATAAAAGGTTCCACTTCCTTAGCGGTTAAAAAAATTTAGATAAAAATTATACTTTTTCAAACTTATCAAACCAGAAGACATTTCTCAAAAGATACCATTTAGTGCTCTCTGGGAATGTGATTAAACTTGGTATGTTACAGGTGGGAGAAAAGTCAATGGTCACAACTTTTCTGCCAAGCAGTGTGGTGCTCTGTAACCAAAGTCCCCCTCTCCTTCTCAAACCACATATTTCATTCTAGAGGGCTATCTTATGAAAATGTACTAAATGTGAACTTATCAATTTGAAAATATTTATCATAACATTACTAGTGTCAAACATGGAAACAATCTAAATAGCCACAATGAGATAAAGTCAACAATAGTAGACCCCTTTATCAGATAGCCATTGAAATCTCTACAGAGAAGAAATAGTATAGAAGTATTTATATCAAATCGAAAAAAGAAGCAGCATACTAAAGTATTATTTTCATTCTAATTATGTGAATGAGCATAACTGTAAAACTATGCAAAGAAACTGAAGAAGGAAATAGTGTCAAGCATGATATTTATATGGTAAGAATGATGATTCACAGTTTGGTTTTTTTCCTGTATTTTTATGATCATACATTTCTTTTGTAATAGGGAACCTTAATCCAAGATTATTCAGTACAGGCTCTTTGCATTTCTTTGTAGGATTTTATTTGGTCACGTGATGTAAATTAGTCCACATTGATGGCTTTCTCTGAAGGGCTATGGGACCACACAGGTCACAGATGCAATACTGAACCACCTCTGTTTTTTCCCATTTTCTAAATGTTTCAAATGTAGATGATAGGACACTCTGCCTTTGAGAACTGAGTATTAATTGCCCTTGAATTTCCCTGAACAAGAGAAGTTCAAATTTCTGCCAGATTTGTTCTTTGTGCATTGGCCTCTTTGACTGAATATTCTTTTATCTTTTCTGCTCCAAAAGATTTGCAGCTGGGGAGACTGGAGTTGATTTTCTTGTAATGTTGTATTTTTAGACAATGGGCCCTGCTTGGGATACAGAAAACCAAACCAACCCTACAGATGGCTGTCCTACAAACAGGTGAGTTAGGCCCAGGGTTTTAGAAAGGTTCTTTTGCTAATGTTTGTAGCATGCTGACCGAATTTTGGTCTTTTTTTTTCTCTTGTTCTTTCTCTCCCCACCCCACCCCCTCTCTGTCTCTCTTCACAGGTGTCTGATCGAGCAGAGTACCTGGGTTCCTGTCTCATACACAAAGGACATAAGCCCTCACCGGACCAATTTATTGGCATCTTTGCTCAGAATAGGCCAGAGGTAACCATATTGAAGATAACTAAGAAAATCCCTTCTGCTGCACACACACCAATGCAGCACTCTGATACACACTGATAACTTACTGAAGCTGTTTAAAGATTTCATACTGCAGGGCTGGGGATTTAGCTCAGTGGTCCACCGCCTGCCCTGCAAGCACAAGGACCCAAGTTCAATCCCCAGTACCAAAAAAAAAAAAGATTTCATACTGCCTATTCTTCTGCTTGAAAGAGTTATAACTCAGAGCCTCCTTCATTCCTGACAGAATGGTTAGGATTCTAGTCTGGATGTTTGGACTTTTACTTGCCAGTGCACCGTGGATCATTTTAAATCAAGCTGTTTGTTCTATGAGGAAGAGAAGGACACTCCAAGTTACTGGCAAAAGTGCTGTGGAAAAGGATTGGTTAGACTTAGAACTGGAGCTTGCATATTGTACTTGAACCAGCAAACCAGGGCACCCGTTATACTTGAGTATGGCCTTCGCCATCTTGGCCCGGTGGTTTGGAAGCAGATGGTATCAAATTCCAGGTAAATCATTAGGCCCAATAGGGTCAAGGAAAGTCTTTGTATGATCTTTATGTTCACTAGAGCCAGTTTCTTTAGTAAGATTTTTAGATTAATCCCAATAAGCCCCAGCTACCTATTCCACTTTTGCTATACTCAGCCTCAGTAAGAAGAGGTGACCTTGACCTACTTTAAGAATTTAACACCAAACTTAGTGTGTCAGTCTGCTAGGGCTGCTCTAATAAAACACACAGGTTAGGATGTCAGCAGGTTTGGATTCTCCCTCGGCCTCTCTCTGATTGCAAGTGAGCTTTCTCATTTGTCCTTATGTGGCCTTTGCTCTCCACAGTGCATCCCTGGTGTTTCTTTCCCTTCTACAGAGACAACCACCCTGTTAGATTAGGGCTCTGTCTTATGACCTCATTTAACTTCAATTACCTACTAAAGTCCTATCTGTAGGGCTTCAACATGACTGTAGGGCAGGAGGGAAGAGACACGACTCAGTCTACACTACCTAGACTGACATTTAAGGCCTGCTGCTAGCAGATTCTGACCCACCTTTCCAATTTTATTTTCTGTTACAATTCATGCTTGCTAATGTGTTTACCCAGTATATCATGTCTCCTATCTTTGTTCTCATCCTTCCTTCTTTGAATGTCTTACCTACTTTCATCTCCATAGCCAAATCCTACCAGTCCTCTGAAGCTCTATCTAATTTCCCTCATTTCCTCCAAAGCAATCTCAGATAGCCTTGACCCTGTCCTTGAATTTGATCTTTGCCTCCTGTAGGCTCCCTGGTTTTTTTCATAGCTCTTACACATGGAACTGGCTACTTACCTTGGTATTCTGGTCTACCTTTGATTTACAGTTATCTCTGTGTCTACCTTATCTAACTTATTTAGCTATACTTTATGGCAGTAACAGTGATGTCCCAATGGCCTGCCTTGTAGCAATTTCTTTTTACATAAAAAGTCCATAAATTTTACATAAAATGTACTGAATAAGCGTTTTTTTGGATGAATGAACTAAACAACTCCTCAAAGTCATTGTCCAGGGCTTACTTGAACTTCTCTTCCCACAGTGGGTCATCTCCGAATTGGCTTGCTACACTTACTCCATGGTAGCCATCCCCCTGTATGACACCTTGGGAGCAGAAGCCACCGTATTTATTGTCAACAAGGGTAAATCTTTGCTATTGCATTAAAACTTGATTTTTTCTTAATTCTTTCTTTCTTCTCTTTTTTTTCAGATTTGAAATACTTGTGGCCAGAAAATAAGTGTTTCAGTCTTTTGGGTTCTGTAGTACTTAGGATATTATTTAAAGGGGAATTATATTTTAAAAAAATAAGCCCACGAGGCAGAGATATGTTTAGATAAAAGGTTCAATGAAATGCTTTAAGGTGACCTAGTACAACAGTGTAGTTCAGAGACAATTCTACTTACTTTAAGCACACTGGAAGAAAGTACTTGATTGACTAAATCATGCTGGAGTTATGGATTTAATTTCTTACCTTTTATAAATTAAAGTCAACACAACTAACCAGCAGACACCAATACTCATGGTGAATCTGTAGAATAAAAATTGTCATTGTTAGAGAAACAAATCTAAGTTCAGCAGGCAAGTAGCAGCCCTTTCATGTATCAAAGATGTTATTTTTTGTTGCCGAACTAGTAGATCCAGTAGAGTCAGTTGAGCAGTAGATAGCGCAGAAGCTTTCTCTTTGTGCCAACATGTGTCATGTATGAGAGAAAACGCCAACAAATGTTTGTCTACTAAAAACTCCACTGCCCCTCCTTTCTCTTCAACTCCCTACTCCTCAAAATAAGACAGTGATCCATATACATTGTCTGAATGACTTTTCTTCAGCATAAGGAATTGCATGATTCCTCTAGAAACCACAATAACATTATATGTTTCTCTTTCGATTGAGCTCATTTATTATTAACGGAATGTTTCAGGTGACACACTACACACTTGATTTGCAGTTGTAATCTTCTGTGAGGACCTACTAGCTTTGGAATTTTTAAAAATCTCTTTCTCCTTGAAGGGTAATCAAGTGCTTAGCAGAGTAGCTCTATTTCTTTTTCAGCTGATATCCCCACTGTCATCTGTGATACACCCCAAAAAGCATCGGTCCTGATAGAGAATGTGGAAAAGGGTCTCACCCCATGCCTGAAGCTGGTCATTCTCATGGACCCCTTTGATGATGATTTGAAGCAAAGAGGAGAGAAGTGTGGAGTTGAGGTCTTATCCCTCTTTGATGCTGAGGTATGGATCTGAATCTCACCATGCAGCTTGAAGGCTAGTCCAGCATCCTAAGCAATCTTCAGGAAACCTGCACAAAACTCAGGGCTGCTGTTCTCCATAGACAGCACACAAGGAGTGAATTGGACTCATGCTAAGAAGCTTGGAGAATGATTTCTTCAACACAACTCAGAAACTCATGCCAAGGGAAGGGAAAGTGCTGTGGCCAGTTGCACAGACTTCTGAGTAGATCATATTTGAATACAGAGCTCACTACCAGTTGAGAATGTGGCTCCTGGGGCCCAGGTTCACATTCCCACTCCTCCTCCAATTACAGTGCAGCTCTAATAATCTAAGTTAGGTGACATGAGGCAAATGATTCCACATCTCCCTTTCCCCATCCAAAAACTGGATAATAATAATCCCTATCTCACAGAGCTGTTGGTAGAGTTAAATGTGTTAATATGTGTAAATTTCTCAGGAAATGGATAAATTGTAAGCTCAGATATGTTAACTATTTGTTTTATTAAAGGAAGATTTGGTTGTGGTCCTAGATGACCAAACTTTAAGAGTATAGGGGGAAATTTTCATGTTCAGGATCTGCCCTCTTTAGCTTAATATACTGAAGAAACTTTATCCTTTTCCCTGGGGTTTGCATTGTACATAAATATTGGCTTTTGGGCCCAATCTGGTTTGGAATTTTGGTTATATTCGCATATGTCCTTCTGGTTTCCTTGTGGAAAGGGAAAGGGAGGGTTGCGTTTGTCCTAAGTGTGTCCATCTCAACAAATGCTTTTCCTTCTTACTTTTTGTTTTGGTTTTTTTTTTCTCATGTAGAATCTAGGCAAAGAGAACTTCAGAAAACCCGTGGTAAGTTTTCTTCTGTCTGAATTTGATTCTTGGCACAGTTAACTCTCAAAATGTGTGGTAAACTAAGTCTTCATGCCTCCCCTCCAGCCTCCAAACCCAGAAGACCTGAGCATCATCTGTTTCACCAGTGGGACCACAGGTCAGTGCCCCTGAGGCCCTGCCGGGCCCCGCGGTCAACCAGAAACATACTGTTAGTTCCTGGCCACTGGTAGGCAGGTACCAGTGCCCTACCATGAGCCTGTCCTGAGGGACTTGCAACCTGAAGCTTTTGAGTGTGAAATCCTGAATAAAGAAGTAAATGGACTGCATCAAATACATCAAATACCATTACATGCTATGGATTTCCAGAGTCTTAAAGATGGTGTCAGAAAGCCAGCTTTCCCCTCAGCGTACCACTCTCTCAATTAGACATCACTGGGACAGTTTCATTCAATCGGGGTAGCTGAGTGCTATTTCTCTACTCATAGTTGTGCCTCTACCCTACATCAACCCATCGAGTAGAATACTTAATCATTTTCAATGTGGCCCATGATGGTCCACAAGCTACATTTATTCCAGTATGCCTGACTTAAAAAAATTGTGATATCACTAGGTAATATTATTAGATCTGAGATCTCAAACATATGAACAATCAAGAGGGGTTTACTTGACTTTTCCTCTTCACCTATGTTCCTGAAATTATGGCTGTGGCCTTGCTGGCAGTAGGTCAATGATGCATTGGGTAGTAGAATCTCTTGGGACATTAATCATTCCTAAACTAAGACATATACATCCACAAAAGGACATAGTTACAGGAAAAAAACACTCTTCATCTCTGGAACAGAACCAGTTGAATCTAGCTTCTTTCAAGACCAAAGGCTATCTATTAATTACATAAAGGATCTTTCTCTCCACATATTTCCTCCAGGTGACCCCAAAGGAGCTATGCTAACTCATGGAAATATTGCTTCAAATGTTGCTGGTTTTCTCAGAAGTGCTGAGGTCAGTGGTCAACTGAAAAAGAGGTTCTCATTAAAATGTGAATCTGTTATATTATTTTTATTCTTGAAGTTAGGGGAGGCAGAGAGTGAGAGGGTAAAAAAAACAAACAAACATTAAAATCTCAAGTGTGGTCCCACACTGGTGTAGTCTTTGTCTTCAGGACAATATATTTTCAAGTGTTAGACTTTAAGGCTCACTGCAAATCTCTACAGTCCACACAGTTCAACAAATTCATGACAGGGCCATGATTTGTATTTCTCGATACCGGGCTGTACCTGTCCTATCACCAGTGTTATAAGTTGCTTGATGGAATAATCATGCATGTAGCATCGGTGATACAAGCCACTAGGAACATGTTAAAGTGCCTCTTAGAGTTATCCTTGTATCACATGAGACAGTCCTGAGAAGGGGTAGTTTTAAAATCTCCATTAGAAGAGAAAGTTCGAATTAATCCACTGTGATCTCCTTGTTCCCTAATCTACAGAGTGTTTTCCAGCCCACCTGTAACGATGTGACCATATCCTACCTTCCTTTAGCTCACATGTTTGAAAGAATTGTACAGGTGAGTGTTCTATGTTCCTAGCAGGTGTGTGAAAAGGAGGTCCTAACTTGCTAGCTGCATGCCGATTCTAAAGCCAGGGACACAGCCTTCTTCATCCTTTCTCTACAGGGTCAGGCGTAGGCAGGGAGTTGGCTCACCTGACTCCTAATCCTAGCAGTCCCCCAGCTTGTGGTAGTGCCTTGCTCTGTTTAATCAGTATGTGCCCCTTTCCCAGGGTTGCATGGGTCCATTGAGATCACAACCAGGAGCTTACCGTCTGCCTTCAGTTCTGAGCTGACTCGTGAGACACTGTGTCTTTCTTTTCACTTTGTTTTGGTTAGAATTTTTGAAAATATTTAAGGATAGAGAAAAGGAAGTTCCTCCAGAGAGAGGCAGGGAAAGAGCATTCGATCCAGGTACGGTACAAGGTGTTACAAACAGGCATTTTCACACCACACCTGAGTGTGTAAGGTGGTGTTGCCCCTGTGGTGGAGGCTCCAAAGGAGAGCTGCCTGGGGGTGGTCTGCAGGCTTCTTGGCTGATCTGAGGTCCATTCAGGAACAGACAGCAACATTGGCCTTTCAAAAACACAGGTGGGGGTGGGGGATTTAGCTCAGTGGTTCCACCGCCTGCCTCTGCCTCACAAGTGCAAGGACCCAAGTTCAATCCTCGGTACCAAAAACAAAAACAAAAACAAAAAGCACAAAACACAGGTGGTGTGATGGGAAGGTCCTCTTTCTGCTTCCCCTAAATATTTCTTCATCCTGCTGATGGTCGGTTGATGCATAGGATACTAAAATGCAAGATCCATTTCACTGGGCTAAAGTGTTTATATGTGATTAATAAAAAAGATTGTAATAAGCACTTAAACTTTTCACCTTTCTGAAATTGAGATGGTCTTGCAATTGAAGGCATATCCTAGTTTTCATTGGCAGTGGTGTTCCTTGGTGCCACATAATGAGCAATGTCATAAGAAGGGTGATATCTTGGACTGTCACACAGAGCTGTGGTGGAGTCAGGGGGTGGGACCCACAGTTTCGCAATGTGTTTTATCTGCCCTGTCACCTCAGTAGAAAAGCATTTCCATCCTTTTTTGGGGGAGGCTCTCAGAGTCCTGGGCACTGACAGGTGAGGGGTTGCTGTACAGGAGAAAGTACCTGCGAACCTGAACTCACTTCCTTAATCCTACCCAAGACAGGCCCCACCTGAAGCCCCGTTTCCTCTTGGTTTCAGGCTGTCATGTATTCCTGTGGAGCCCAAGTGGGGTTCTTTCAGGGAGACATCCGGATGCTGCCTGATGATATGAAGGCTCTAAAGCCCACGATTTTCCCCACAGTGCCTCGCCTGGTTAACAAGATCTACGATAAGGTACTAACCTCGCTTTCGCTGGACTTGCCCTGAGAAGGAGGGGCCATCCGTGGTCTAGGCCTGTGCTAAGGCTCTGGGGGACTGTGTACTGTACCTGCACCCCATCCCCTACAAGTATCTGCTTAAAGCCACATTTACAAATGCTGCTCTGATAAACCATGATAGAGGAAACCCCCTTTCCTCTGGGCAAGGTTACTGACCTGAAGAAGAGCTCAACTCTGAGGCGTGGGGAGCCCCTCAATCTTTAGCCCACTTACTGGGAATTTGTCACCCTGATTTACACGTCTTGGTCATTGGGCTTCTTGCTGAGGGGCCAGGCTCCACAGTAAACATTTCAGATG